CTAAGAATTGGTAAGCTGCAATATAATAAATGTTTGCTTTTGGGTTTAAGCCCTGGTTCACACTGATGCGGTGCAGAAATCGCAGCGTTTTCAGTGTGAATTTTGCACCGTACCAGAATCGCACCCTGTTCATGTGAACCGCTGCGGGTGTGTATGTTATGTTAACAACACCCCAAAAGCAGTCTGCAAAATGTGGTGTGATGTGCAGACCCACATCGCATGGGTGTGAATACCCATGCGATCTGATTCTAGTGTGGACCCAAAAAAGGGTCCTGCGCATTTTTGGTGCGGGTGCTGTGCAAATAGAGCCATACAAAATGTATGGCTCCAATTGCACCACACACAAATCGCATGTGATTTGTATAGGAATGCAGTGCGGTTCCTGTGTGAATCACATGCGATATACCGCAGGCAATATACAGCGGCAATACCGCTTTAAAACAGTGTGCCTCAAATCATGCACAAAGCGTACGTTAATGCATCTGCATTACAACTCAAGTTTTAAACTGTTGTTACAACTGCAGTGATCTGATCCTATTGTATTTCAACATGTACATTTAAAATTCAGTGGACTTTCTTGAGAAAGTAAAAAATAGTTCCATACAATGAAAATAATAGCAGAGCATGACTGTACCATTTGTTTGTTTAGGTCTGATCACCTTTTCTGCACTATAGGTTGGTCTTATTTGTTCCAACATGCTTTCAAGTCTGTGTCAAGGTCACCTTGTCAGAACAATGCTGTTTTCAGTTTAGTTTATTAGTAGTAGTTTTGCAATATTTTTCCTCCGTCCAGCTTTTTCTTAAAATGATGTGTCACTTTAGACAAATTGTATGTGTATAATGAGCTGATCTATGAAAATAGGGCCTTTTCCACACAGGAGTAGAAAAAAAAAAAGCCATATTTTTTACTGATCTGAATACAGAGAGGCGTATTGTTGTCTATAGCACAATGTGCAAATCTGCTTAAAGATCAGCAATTCAGCGATGAGTACAGAGCCGCAAATAAGAATCGAAAATTTTACATTTGAGTCTTTTAATGCATACAGTGGCATCCCTAGGGGGGTGCGTGCCGCACCGGGTGACACCATCACAGGGGGTGCAGGAGCAGGATGCCGGAACAGTGACAGCTGCCCCTGCCCCGATGTAGCGGTAAAATGAGTATCCCTTGAAGCAACTGCGCATGTGCCGGTTGCAGGCCGGAGAAGCCGGTCGCCGGCTCTGTGCTAAAGTCGGAGATTGGCTTCTTCGGCCTGAAACCGGCACATGTGCAGTTGCTTCAGGAGATACACATCTTCACGGGTCGGGATACTCATTTTACCGCTACACCAGCACCACTCCTTCCTCTCTGGATGGATGACACCATGTGTTACCGCACCGGGTGAAACCAACCCTAGGGACACCTCTGAATGAGCATACATGTTTAAACGCATGTATCTGTGCGTATAATGAAAAATTGGTAACTGGTAGAAGATAAAGAAGAATTTTACACATGTACACGCATACGCACATTTACATGCCTATACATGAGTATACACAAGCTCTTTATGAAACAATTTATTCAGGATCTTTCTGTCAACAATAAACTTTAGTAAATTATTATGTTTGTGTACAAGCGGCCTAAGGTTATATCCATATGATGCAGCCGTAAAATGTTACTGATCGTTAGACAAGGGACAAAAGTTCCTGCATAAATAGTTCCATTTTTTAATGCATAAAAATTGCCTTGTTCTTTTTTAGTGATATACGTGTATACCTATGCCCAGATGCAGATTTTTGGATATTTGGATTTTGTGCTACAGTTTGAACACTGTGCATGTTTATGCTGCTCTTTGAATGTCTCTGTTTAAAACAATGCAGCTGCATTTTCAGATCCGTAAATAAAAATGCTTGTATATGAGTTTTTTACGGCCGTGTGAATGAGGCCTAAAGCAAAAATGTAGCTGCTTCCCATAATAACTAAATATTATATTTTCCCATGTAATGAACATGAGTAGATGTCATGAAGACAAAAATGTTCATCAATATCAAATATCAAGTTATCCCTGTCTGGTATGTCTTTGTTCTTGTGATCTTCAGAAGCTCCTGGTCTAAGGTTAGTAACTCCAGTACCTTTTGCTGTCCTGATTAGCTTTGTTCAGTTTAGGCGTTTCTATTATTTCCCTTACATAACACTATGACAATGACTGTCTATGCAATAGTGTGATCCTGGACATACACACAAAAAATTGCTGTCAGACATAGGCCTCTGCAGTTATATAACATGCTTTGGATTATTCGAATTCATGTGCAGCAGTACAAAGGGGAAACAAGTCACAGCACAAGCCCCCTGTGCTCATTCATCCAGAGTGGGGGCACTGCGCAAGTATAGATGTTAACCAAGGCTAGGCTAAAGCTGGGCTGACAACGCTGTTTGGGATTTTTGTGCAGCAATGGTAGTGTTGTCAGCTCACAACAGGAAGTTAGGATTGCTGGCAGGATCAATTTCACATTAAGAAAATCAAGGCTGTGTCTTATAGATTCCATAATTCACTAACTTTACATCAGTTGCTGAGCTTCAAGCTCACCAGCAACAGTTGCTCTGCCTTCATCTCCATGGCTCAGCTACACTGAAGAAGAGAGATTTGCAACAGCCAACACTAAGACAATGGTGCAGCACCAGTTGGATGCGTAGCTGTAAAAAATCACTTCTTGGTAAAAAAAATAGCCACTCCAGCACAGCACTGTCGCAGCTCATGTTCTTCCTTCTGGGTTTGCAGGCTCCAGCTATATGAATTACACGGTATGCCGTCCTTTTAGGCCGCATGTGCCGGTGACATCACTGGCTTTATGCTGTGTAAATATCAAACAACAAAAAAAGAAAAACTCCCAGCTCAACTTATCGACCAGCATGCAACAAAGCGAATTGTGCTGTCTAACATTTTGCGTTAAAAACAAGGGTTTAGCTTGCACACATTTGCAAATACATGCGTAAGCTACAGAGCCGCGTCACAGCACCCCAGTATTTTCTGCAGTCCTAGCTCTCTAATTTTGAGAACCCCATAGTAGAAGCACATGTATAATAATGGATAGACTGAATCAGGTTAGCTTGAAGGGGACACTCCATTGTTTGTACTGTTGATATATGGGTGAGGGGACACACTGGACACCTTAGCTGACATTTTTCTATATGCTGGGTGTCCACTGTGCCCCTGTGCCTCTAAGGAAGGGTGGGCTCCCTCCAGGCTAACCTTCCCTCAGTCTATCCATTATTATACATGTGCTTCTACTATGGGGGCTCCTTATAGGGTTAGGACTGCAGAAAATAATGAGGTGCCATAAGAGGCTCTGCACTTTACGCATGTGTTTGCAAATGTGTGTAAACTAAACCCCTGGTTTTAACGCATACTGTTAGACAGGACAATTCGGTTGGTTGCAGGCTGGTTCATAAGATGAGCTGGGAAGTTTTCTTTTTGTGTTGTTTGACATGCATCACCCTTCCATGTGCTCTTTGCTGCAAAGGCCAGTTATAGATTGGGGCAGTGGCCATTTGTTTGTAATGCTGTGTAAATATCTCCTAAACACTGCAGGTTTATGAGATATTCATTGTACCTACAGGTAAGCCTTATTATTGACTTACCTGTAGGTACAAGTTAAAAAGTGAACTTTACTTTTAAAGTGTATGTAAACCCTCACCTTGTAAAACAACTGATTAGGTTTGAAATAGAAATGAAAGGCAAAACATTTGTGTATAGATATACAAAAAAAAACACCCCATTATAAACACTTTTTCCCCTTTTTTTATAAGTGATCACATTTCCTCTGTCCTTAGCTGCATGAACGTTGGGGGAGTAGAAACAGCATAATACTGGTCTTCCCAGTAGCTGTGCAGGGGAAGGGGGAGTCTGCAAACATCTGATCATTGGTGGAGAGCACACTGAGTTTCCAGCATAGCTAGAGAACTGGCCACGCAGTGCCCTCCTGCCTAGTGTGGTCAGTTTTTAATAGGAAAGCAGAGGGACTGGCAGGAACACCAGGTATTTCACACACAGGAAGCAATACAAAGAGAACAGGATACCTTTTCATACAAGTACATGGTACAGGCACATATCAGGAATATGAAATGTTGGTTTTATATACTCTTTAAGCACAATCAGGGTGAAACTCATCAGCAGGGCGTGGCTTAGGGTGAGAACTGTGCTTTTTTTATTAAAAATCATGGTTTGAAATGTATAATTTTCTACCTTTACTTTTATACTTACCTTAAAGCTGAAGTCTGGGAATTAGATCAAATGTACTCTTACAGTGGGAACACCTACACTGCAAGGTTTAAGGATTCATTTAGACTAGGGGAGCAAGGATAAGATATATTACATCTTTGCCACATCCCTTGAGCCAGCACTAATCTGTTCTGCCCTAGGCTCTGGGTGGTCGTTCAACATCATCATATGCAGTGCGGGGCTTTTAGCCCTGCATTGTACACAAGAAGAAGAGCAGGAACAACAAAAAATATATATCTTTAGCTTATGTGAACTTATTAACACAAACCAAACCTCTAGTTAGCTCACCCTAATGAGGCAGACATTAGGTAAGCAAGGTAAGACCAGCTAATGTAGTAGAAATGTGCCCCTGAACTGTTCATAGCAGTTTCCTTGGAACTTTGTTCCTGGGTCACCTTACCTAAGGTCAGCATATTAAGTCATGGGACTTGTAGCAGCCTTGTACTGTGGGTGCAAAAGTCCGTAGAATTTTCATCCACTTTCACATAAGACTCTGCTGATGTCAGTGCTCCACTGTGGTGTCACCATGATTTCATTTTACCTGGCCTGAAACCAAAGCACAGAGGGACGTTTATATACAGCTCGGAGGTAGTTTTTTTTTTAAATTATACTGCTCTAATAATGCCTGCCTGCAAAAATGGACTTAAAGCGGAGTTCCACTCACTCTGTAGAAAAATAAAAGTCAGCAGCTACAAAAACTAGCTGCTGACTTTTAAAAAACAGCCACTTACCTGTCCACCGCAGCCCGTTTCACCGACCGTCCTGACCGTCCTGTATTCCAGGAGGCTGGCATCTTCAGTGTGGGCACCCGGCTGTGACAGCTTGCGGCTTCACAGCTGGGTGCCTACTGTGCATGCGCGAGTAGTGCTTCCCTTCCTGAATGGCCCCGTAGTCTTCTGGCACTTGTCATGTGTCCAACAAGACTACGGGGAGGGAGGGTAGGAGGACAACTTCCGCTTCCGGTCGCCTATGCGATCGCAGCGGACGTGGGAGCGGGTACCTGTCAAATTCGGGTACCTGTCCCCCCCTCCCCCCACTCTCCGAAGGTGCCAATCCTTAATGGGGAGCAGGAGACCAATCTTTAAAGTGGAACTTCCCCTTTTGGGTGGAACTCCGCTTTAACCTTAGAGTTTAGGTCAGCTTTGATAAAATTGTTTATGGGGACAGCATGCGATCAAGGCCCAAAGTGTCTTAGAAAGTCTGCAATGATGGATCAGTCACCCATCTGGAGGGCCCAGGCTGGTGCCAAGAATAAGGTAAGTATTACACCTTATCCACCGTTACATAAGCATTTCTGAACTCACAGACTTGTATACTTCTTCCAGGACAGTGGAGTCACAGACAGCTAGGCATCTAGAATTTTCAGAAGGAAGTCAGCACTTTTCTCAGGTTCCTTTAACATGTAATAACTGGATTTCATCAGCAAAAGGTCTTTTCTGATTGGCTGCCATGGGTTAGGGCACATGACACATTATCGCTCTTCTTTGCTCTGTCATGCTAGAAATACCTCTGCCACGTGCCATTCTGAGACTTTTATACTTAGCACACTAAATGGGCTGATTATGCCCCATTTTATGAAATTTGGTTTTAGGGAAAAGCCTTTAAGTGAAACATTTTTTTCAGTGTCTAATTGTCCTTTTAATAAGCAAGGATCTGGTAATGGCCTTTTCAAAGTGAAATTTTTGCTCTGGGAAAGCCCACTTGACAATTATCAGGTAGCATGAATATCTTTTTGTTTTGGTATTTCTTTAATAGCTGGGTTTTGAGTACACCTAGACCTTGCCAAGATCAGGGCCATCTTCTCAGTATCATACTCCGCACAATGTGAGCTTTGTATTCTTAAGACAGGAGGGTTCAGTGACACACTGAAGTCAATGGAGCACTGAGATCTCCTTATTAACCCTTTGCTTCTCCGCCTGAACCTTACATAGTTTCCAAGCAGTGGGCCATTCTCTTTAGTTCCTCATCTGCTTCAACCCGAGTGACCCCGTTTAGTGTTGCTGCGAGGAATGCACAGGCGAAGTTCAGCTCTGAGTCAAGAGTTCCCAAAACATGAAATAGTTTTGCAGCCCCGAGCCTTGTCATTTTAGAAACAATGTGGGTAGAATGAATCAAGAGAAAATTCAAGTGAGCGATTAGCAGCTGGAGATTTGTCACTGCTGAGCTGCAACCTTGTGATCCGTCTTATAAAATAATGCTTTTGCATTGTGCTGAGTTTCAGTTTCCCTGGATGCATTCTTCTGCTGCATATTTCAGTGCTGGCAAAAGGCATAGAGATGGTGAAAATGCATTATTTTCAAGAGTACCTGTTCTCACACACATCCTGTGCTGTGATTATTATTATTATTATACATCATTTAAATAGCGCCAACAGTTTGCTCAGCGCTTTACAATATAACGGGAGACAATACAGCAACAATACAGTTCAATACAAGAGGGATAGGAGGGCCCTGCTCCTTGGAGCTTACAATCTAGGAGGGAAGGGCAAGTTATAAATGCACTCATTTGTTTAATAATAAACATTTAACTAAAAATTTTTTTAGATAACTTACGCCTTTTTCTGTTTGGGAGTTATTATTACATATATAAAAATGACTGGGGAGTTATTATTACATATATATAAAAATGACTGGGGAGTTATTATTACATATATAAAAATGACTGGGGAGTTATTATTATTTTTGGGAGTTAATATAACATACTGCACCCCAACACACTAAGGCAACAAACATGCGTTGCAGCATGCCACAATACATGACAGCGTACTATAGTGCCTTGAGGTGCATTGCAGTGCAACACTTGTGGCCCATATCATTTTCTGGGCATTGGCAGCCTATTACTTTCAATGGGCTGCCATAACGCAATGCATGCAACATGCAATATAATGATCATTTGATCATTTATCTGTTTCTGGGAGGTGCTTACTGGGAAAACTCACTGGCAACGCAGCAGCTGTGCAGATGCATGAGGTTGTCCTATGACAGCCACATACGGTGCAGCTCTGCCAGCAATGCAGGGAGATCTCACTGGCCACTCGCTTCGGCTCCTCTGAAACTGCCAAGGGGAAGTGTTCCGGGTTGGGGTCTCCAGGGAAGCCAGAGCGATGAGTGAGTGAGATCTTGCTGCATAACTGGAAAAAAGTAACTCCACTGTATGGAACTGTCTTTAGACAGCCCCATACAGCCACTCACAAGGCACAGGGCTGCGCCAGGATTTACTAGTATGGCATTCCAGTGTATATGTGTCTTTGTGTGTGTGTATGTGTATACAGTATATACTGTGTATGCAGTGCCAGATTAAACTATGTGGAGGTCCCTAGGTAGTTGAAACCTTGGGGTCCCCCCTTGCAGTTTTCTGGAGGTTTCTCTTGCATGTGCTCTAGTAGGATAACATAGAACTAAGTAGTGTGCATGTAGGGTACTAGATAGAGATGACCATCATTACTGTACAATACATGTATGTAGGTTGCACCAGCAATTTTTACATAGTGACATCTGAAAGAAGATGAGCTTTTAAGAGACAAACTGTAGTGTGAACATGATGAATATGCTTTATGTACTTTACGTTATCATTGGGTACATTACATTAAAGTGTTACTAAACCCAGGACCCTACATTCACTCTATCTGGTGCTCCCACAGTACACACTACATGGAAGTGCAATTGTTTTAGTAAAAATTAACCTGCTAAATACCTTTTCTCATCAGCAGTTAGAGCAGTCTTGTGACATCTATCAGTGTCCAGCAGAGCACATGTTAAAGCTTGTAGGAGGAGTTTTCTTTCTGCTCTAGGAGGATGTAGAACCCCTGACCTCTGTCTGGACAGTGCTGATTGGCCCTGTGCTGATCACATGCACAAGATAAAATAAAACCTCAACACACACTAAACTGAGCATGTGCAGAGTGTCTCCACACTATGTCTTATCATCGGGAGATAAAAGGGGGACACTGGAAGAAGGGGAGTATCGGAGAAGTCAGGATCAAACAGCATTTTTAAACAATGCCCCTTAGGTTCCACAGTGAGTATAACAAGCATGCTTTACTGTATATACAGACTGATTTTACTATTGTGGGTTTAGTAACACTTTAATACAGGATTTTCTCTATAGAGTCTTTAATGTGAAGTTTTCATTTCTTCAAGTTGATTTTTTCCTATCTTTTGTAAACAATTTAGGAAAGCTTCATTATACTTTCCTTCGGAGATCAAATCAATATTATTTTGATCCATTGTCAAGGGGCTCCTGAACAGCATGGAGCCCATAGGCAGTGCCCACTATGTCTATTTGGTGATCCAGCACTGTGTGTATGCAGTTTGTTTGCTTGTATTATGCACATTATCACATTTCTCTGTCTATGTGCCTCTTCTCATTGGTAAATCTCTGTGCTCTATGGATTGTGTATGTACGCCCCTGTTAAGAACATTCACTCTCAGGGCCATATTTGATACACAGAGATGTTTCTATCCTGTGTGGAAGCAAAACAGCTAAAAGTGACACTTGTAATCCCTAGAACACTGGATTACATGAGAATACTATGCATAGGAAAACAACATTCCAGGACAGAATCCCTCATTACAAGACTGAGTCTTGATGTCACACTGTGTAATCAGATCACACCCACCCTTGGGAGCTTTCATTGCCCATTATACAGGAGATGTAAAATATAGGTGTTTCCATCGTCATTGTCCCCTTTGTCCGGCTGAAATGTATATTTTAATGCTTCGTGAGAAAATACACAAATAAAAGAGGTACAATTTGGCCCGCTTTCAGAATTTTAAGTTTAACTTCAGCTTCACAAACTGCCAATGTAAGCTGTAGGACTGTCTGTAAATTGAGTTGTATTGCATAATGTTTCTTTTATATCTCACTTCATTTAAATCTGGTACATTTGTGTTATAGCGGTTATAAGAAGACTTGGATAGTAATGGGTCCGTGTGCAGGGCAGGGGTGCACTTTATGCTTTAAGTCACCCTAGGCACATATGACTTGTGACCAGGGCTTTTTTTTTCTCAGAGAATAGGTACAGGTACTCCCACCTTCCGAGTCACTCCTTGTCTCCACCCCTACCCACCTCTGAGCACTGTCCCTTGGTTCCACCCCCTACCCACCTCCCAGTACGGCCCATTTAGAGAATACAGAACCAAGTATTTTGTGGTGCCAAGTAATTTTTATGGAATTTGTTAATGATAAAAGGAAAAGTAGTTAAATAGATGACCTGCAGCCAGCTACAACAGAACCCATCCCCAGCAACAATAGACCCCCCAGCAACAATAGATCCTTGTGCAACAATAGATCACACCCAGTAACAATAAATCCACCTCCCGCAACAATAGACCCCTGCCAGCAACAGTAGATCGCCCAGCATCTAGCATCATAAGACCCTCCAGCAGCTAGCAAAAATAAACTCTCCAGAACACCCCAGTACCTCTTGCCATTAACCTCTTTCCTCTCAACAGTAGATCCCTCCCAGTAACATAATCCGCCCCAGCAACAATATACCATCCCTGCAACAATAGATCCCCCAGCAGCCAGCATCAGTAGACTCTCCAGAACACCCCAGTGCCTCTTGCCATTACAGGTGCTGAAACTGCGTTCCCCTGGGATCCTGCTGAACAAAAACCCTGCTTGTGACAACCCTATACAGTATATACACCCTGCTCCTTTAGTTCTTTGACTGGTATGCATTTGAAGCTCACCTATCAAGCAAAGAAGTTGTTAATAAAGTAGAGAGCTGCATGGCACTTAAGCTACAAAGAATCTTGACACTACTCTTCTTAGCTCCTGCATCTCATTTCTGTTCTGCTGCTGAATCTTCCCACATAGTTTTTGTATTTAAAGATCATGTTGGTCGTCCAGGTTCTTTTGACTTTGATTTTGTGAATATGGGTGAGAAAATGAGAAGTACAATGTGCCCATGGTAGGAGAATGCATTATATAGTCCTTCAAAGATGGAGGGCATTAGCAAAGCTTCAGAAAGTCTTGTAATTCCGGACTGTATATCATTGTTGAGAGGATAAGAGGTCCTCTTCTAATACTGAGTATACAAAGGAAGTTTTTTTTTCATTCAACCCAGTGG